TAAATAAATAAATAATCAAATAAGAAGACAAACCTAATTTAGGCTTCTTTCATAAGAATATTTTGACTTCTCAATACTTGCCCACATTGTTAGACAAACAATTATGTTTGTAAAAGGAGTATTGAGCATTAATGCTCATCTTAAAAACATATAATTGCTTAATTGCCCATCAATGTTGGCAAGTATTGAGAAGTCCAAATGCTTTTTTTTTTTAGTGTTATTGACCCGACAAATTATTCTGTGGAACTGTGTCCACCTTGCAAGGTAGACACGGTTAAAAAATTATTCATAATTATGAATATATAGTTCAAAAATTATAAATATATTGTTCTATAATTATGAACATAGTGTTGTGAACATAATTATGAACATATATTTATGTAATTATGATATAGAGATTCAATAATTGTGAATATGAAGTTCAAAAATTATGAATATATTTCTTTATAATTATGAACATATAGTTCAGCAACTATGAATATAAAGTTCTATAATTATGAATATAGATTTCAATAATTATTAATAATAGTTTTTTTTTTTTTAATATTTCCACTAACTTTACATTTTATAAAATATATAATCGAGATTAATATTTCTTTCTATCTCAGATAAACGTTAAGATGCAAACTTCATTTTACATATTTATTAATACATTTTATCCAAGTAATTTTTATATTTTTAGTAACTTATTAATATTCAAGTATTGATATTCATTTCATTTTTCAATTGGCATAATTTCAATGAAAATTTTTATATTTTCAGTAATTTATTAATATTCAAGCATTAATATTGATTGCATTCTTACTTTTTAATCAAGTATAATAGAGTGAATTCCATTTTTGGTCCTATTGTTATCGGGACTTTTTCAATTTTAGTCTACCATTATTATTTTTGCCACATTGCGTCCACTATTATTAAAAGTGTTCCAATTTTAGTCCATTTTAAGATTTTTCGTGGTCTAAAATTTGAACACTTTTAATAATAGTGGACGCAATGTGGCAAATATAATTATGGTGGACTAAAATTGAAATGACCCCTATAACAGTAGGACCAAAAATGGAATTCACTCAGTATAATATTCATTTCATTTTTTGCATTTGAGTCAATTTCGAAGCATTTTTAATTTTCAATCAATCTATACTATATATAAAAACAAAATTCTGAAATTTTAACTTCCCGCCCAATTCCTAAAAAATCTCTCTTCCCGATAAAATATATTGATTTCTACTTTCCCATTCGTACAATAATTCTGGGTAAAAATTCTATTCTAAAATTATAAAATAGTGTAATGCAATTCCCTTTGCACATCTAATCTATACTATATATAAAAACAAAATCCTGAAATTTTAACTTCCCGCCAAATTCCTAAAAAATCTCTCTTCCCGATAAAATATATTGATTTCTACTTTCCCATTCGTACAATAATTCTGGGTAAAAATTCTATTCTAAAATTATAAAATAGTGTAATGCAATTCCCTTTGCACATCTAATCTATACTATATATAAAAACAAAATCCAGAAATTTTAACTTCCCGTCCAATTCCTAAAAAATCTCTCTTCCCCATAAAATATATTGATTTCTACTTTCCCATTCGTACAATAATTCTACAACATCCTGAAATTTTCACTTCACGCCCAATTCCTAAAAAATCTCTCTTCCCCATAAAATATATTGATTTCTACTTTTCCCATTCGTACAATAATTCTGGGTAAAAATTCTATTCTAAAATTATAAAATAGTGTAATGCAATTCCCTTTGCACATCTAATCTATACTATATATAAAAACAAAATTATGAAATTTTAACTTCCCGCCCAATTCCTAAAAAATCTCTCTTCCCGATAAAATATATTGATTTCTACTTTCCCATTCGTACAATAATTATGGGTAAAAATTCTATTCTAAAATTATAAAATAGTGTAATGCAATTTCCTTCGCACATCTAATCTATACTATATATAAAAACAAAATCCTGAAATTTTAACTTCCCGCCCAATTCCTAAAAAATCTCTCTTCCCGATAAAATATATTGATTTCTACTTTCCCATTCGTACAATAATTCTCGGTAAAAATTCTATTCTAAAATTATAAAATAATGTAATGCAATTCCAATTGCACATCTAATCTATACTATATATAAAAAACAAAATCCTGAAATTTTCACTTCCCGCCCAATTCCTAAAAAATCTCTCTTCCCGATAAAATATTTTGATTTCTACTTTCCCATTCGTACAATAATTCTGGGTAAAAATTGTATTCTAAAATTATAAAATTGTAAAAGCTGTGAAGTGTCAAAAGTTCGGCAAGGCATAACGTTTTACTCGGTTGTCAGTTTTGGACAATTATTTTTTTTAAAATTGCGTATTTTTTCGAGATCTATCCACCGCAAACTGCCGTAGGCGGTTTGGCCAACCAATTTCTAAAAAAAATGCTTTATTAAATAATTTCTAATAAAAAACTACGAGAACCTTATGTTTTATTAATGAATTTTTAAATTTTTTAATTAAAAAATTGCCCCGTGCATTTTTTAATAATCTCTCTTTATAATTGGTCAAATTATTTAATTATGGTAAATTAGGGAATAATTAATGATGGTAATAGAAATCCTAGAAGAATATTTAATTATTGTTATATTCTTCGAAAAGGAAGAACCCTAAAGCCCCCCCCCCCCCCCCCCCCCCACACTGCGGCCCGACAATCATGGTGACTGAACTGAACATGACCGACAGAGCATTTGGGAGGATGTAAATCATGGTGACTAAATTGAACATGAACCACAGAGGCTAGACCGGTGCTCACTGCGCACAAGAAGCCCCCTCACTTTGAGAGGTTGCTCCCACACTGCCGCTGGTGAGACTCGATCCCCGGTCATTCTTCCAAAGTTTCACCTCTATGACTAGTTGAGCTACCCATGCGAGCTTAATTATTGTTATATTATTATTGTGACTCACGGATTACAATACAAGAATATTTAATTATGATTATATTATTATTGTGTGCCTCCCGACCATTATATACTAACAAAACTTGAAACAAAACTAATAATAATAATAATAATAATAATAATAATAATAATAATAATAATAATAATAATAATAATAATAATAATAATAATAATAATAATAATAATAATAATAATAATATAAGTGGTAAAAATAATATTTAAAAGTAATTAAGTGTTAATAATAATAGTAAGAATATTAACGTAAGAATTATAACATAGAATAAATCGTAATAATTAATAACTATAGTCTAGGATTAAATTTGAAATTGTCAGGAAAAATAAGCGACCTCTAGTGAAATTAACTCTTAAATAATTATATATCGATTTAAATATTCTTAATATATTACAACAATTCCATTCTGTGCATCGCACGGGTGAAAATACTAGTTATTAATAGTCATTTCTTATTTTAATTGGCCTAAATTCTGTGTCGTTTTTATACTCAGTTAATAATTATTTTTCAAATATTCTTTTAAATACTATAATTTCACCTATGAACATGGTGTCGATAAACGAATAAAACAAATGAATATTCAAAGTAATGAAAACACATTAAATCTTTCAATTTAAACATAAGATATAAATTTAAATTTTTAAATATAAAATCTATATGCTTATTCGTGCACTTGACAGAATATGCTTATTACCAAGTAATTATAAAATATCATACATATTATTACCCGTTATGCTATTATATTATTACCTAATTAATATTTGTTTTACACGGTATTACCAATAGAATATTTAATTATCTGCAAAGTTTGAGCGGAAAAATAAAATACCAAATATATATTTATATATATATATATATATATATATATATATATATATATATATATATATATATATGCGTGTGTGCGTGTGTGCGTGCGTGAGTGCGTGCGTGTGTATTAGGTATTATTTTTATAATTAAGGTATACTATTATTAAATTGAAATTATTTAAAATATATAGATCCACATTAAGAAAAATCTTATTAATTTCTGATATTAAAACTATATATTTATATTAAAGAGTAAATACCGGCCAAGGTCCCTCGAGTTTGGTGGTTTCACCACTTATAGTCCCTAACTTCCGTAATTATCATCCATGGTCCTCCGAATTGCAAAATCTGACCATCTGTCATCCTTCCGTTAGTTTCTTCCATATGTGCCGTTTAAAGTAAGGATAAAATTGTCATTTGCCTTAAATATTTCATTTTTAATTTCTCCCATCTGGGCATTCTTCTCCTTCATTCATCCCCATTCTTCTTTAATCTCTCTCTCTCTCTCTATCAACGTTATCTAGCTTGTAGAGATTAATTCAGTCCAAGGCTAACGGTTCAACCTTACTGCTATTACCGTTACTTCCAAGTCCCTCTCCACCCTCTTCTCCTCCGGCGACCGCCTCAACTGTTTCTGTACTTGTCTTTCGAAACCCATTTTCCGGCCACAGCGCTGCCGCCGCCGCTTCGGAATCCGGGCACACCGAGTTTTATTATTAGTCCATGGAAGCTATTGAAATTAGTTGGACCTATGAGATCTGTCTGCCTTAAAGTTTCAGTTTTAGTGTTTATCATATAGAAACATGGCAACGAAAATGACATGGTACATAAGTACATTCTCTGGAGACAAATGGATGAATGTGTTGGTTCTATTTCAGGTCAAGATTTGGTAGATGGGATAAGATCATTGCCACATTTTTGTTTCCTGTAGCCTGTAAGTCATCCTCACAGGGCTAGGTGGCGACCGGTCACGCGTAAACCCAGGGGATCAAACAATTTTGGTGTTTTGGGACACACATAAGGTCCTTGAAGTCACAACAAAACTCAATTGCACTTGACTCCAAGCAGCACCAACTTCTGCCTTTTTCTGTTGTCCTTTTTAGCTCCCTCTAAAATCTTTTCTCTTCTGCTCAACTTTGGTGTTTTGTGGTCATACTTCCATAGTGGGTTTTCTCTCTTTTGAACTCCCCAAATTCTGCTGTTCGTTTGCCGATTCGGATCCCTGCAATTGGAGAGAGTTGTTCTGCTTTTAGCAAGAACACCCAATCTCTGCCATTTCTCTCGTCTATTAGAGCCTGGGCATTTTCATCATTTTTTCTTTTGACATCTCCATTACTCAGGCGTTCGAGTGGCTCACGAACCAACTCTGGAAGATAACGTTGAGAGAGAGAGAGAAATTAAAGAGGAATGAGGAACGAATGAAGGAGATCAAAGAAGGCCAGACGAAAGAAACTAAAAATGATTTTTTTAAGGAAAATGACCATTCTATCCCCACTTTAAACTGTCCAAACGGATGAAACTGACGGGAGGATGACAATAGGTCAGATTTCGCAACTCGGAGGACCACGGATGGTAATTACAGAAGATAGGGACTATAGGTGGTGAAATCACCAAACTCGAGGGACCTTGGCTGGTATTTACTCTTATATTAAATGTGAAATTATAAATAATTAAGTTTCAATAAGTTTAGTTATTTCCTAACTTTATATTTTATAAAATATATAACCGAGATTAATATTCTTTCTATATACTGAGTAAGTTTTGGAAGCATTTTCCATTTTAGTCGATTATTAATAGTCATTTCTTTTTTTCTTTTCTGAAAAAATTAATAGTCATTTCTTATTTCAATTAGCCTAAATTTCATGTCATTTTTATTCTCAGTCAATTATTCTTTTTACTACATATTAATTAATTAGTTAATTATTAATAATTTTTTTTTAATATTTTCACTAATTTTACATTTTATAAAACATATAATCGAGATTAATATTTCTTTCTATCTCAACTAAACGTTAAGATGCAAACTTCATTTTACATATTTATTAATACATTTTATATCTGTAATTTTTATATTTTTAGTAACTTATTAGTATTCAAGTATTAATATTCATTCCATTTTTCAATTGGCCTAATTTCAATGAAATTTTTTATATATTCAGTAATTTATTAATATTCAAGCATTAATATTCATTTCATTTTTATGTTTTTAATCAAGTATTAATATTAATTTCATTTTTTTGCATTTGAGTCAATTTTGAAGCATTTTTAATTTTTAGTAAATTATTAATAGTCATTTGTTATTTTAATTGGCCTAAATTCCGTGCCATTTTATACTCAGTTAATAATTATTTTTCAAATATTTTTTTAAATACTATAATTTTACGTATGAACATGATGTCGATAAACGAATAAAACAAATGAATATTCAAAGTAACGTAAAACCATTAAATCTTTCAATTATTTTTCAAATATTCTTTTAAATACTATAATATTTAAATAATTTTTAATAATTCAAAAAAAAATTGAAAAAAAAAACGACGAGCCACCCCCCCCCCCCCCCCCTTTTTTTTTAATTATTATTAAAAATCATTTTAAAATTATTAAAAATGTTAACCCAACTGCCATGTAAGCAGGTAACCTGCTATCAGGTGAAATTGCATACATTTGGAGTGTTCAGTGGCCTAATTGTACTTTTTTTTCATTTAGTGGCCTAATTACATTTTTTTGTTACGTTCAGTGGCCAATTTAAACCTTATTCCATTATTATATAACAATATACACGATTTAGTAAGAAAGAATGGGAAGAAATCAGAATTACCAATCAGTTTGATCATCTACCATGTGCACAATCTCAATATACCGTGAAATTATGAAAAATCTGTACACGGTAATTACCTAATCTATATTATAAAGTAATTTATTAATTAATTACCTTAATTAAAATTTGTACACAATAATATTCTGTTTTATTTAATTATTATATAACAATGTACACGGTTTAGTAAGAAAGAATGAGAAGAAATAAGAATTAGAATAATATTGAATAAAGGATTTTCAATAAACGGTAATCCTGATTGTTAAGAGGATTTGAAATTGCAAATTAGTAAAAATGTGTACACGGTAATTACCATATTTAATAATATATATTATAAAGTAATTAATTAGAGTTAATACCCATTTTGGTCCTCCGACTATTAGCTAATACTCGATTTAGTCCCAAAGTATTAAAAGTACCTAATTTAGTCCTCTAACTTTTAAAATCACACCCAATGTGATCCCCCGTTACAATTGTCGTCTATCCACCGTTATTTTGAGGGCAATGAAGTCAATTTACTTGGTCCAAACCTGTTTCTTCCTTTGGTTAACGTCGTTGGAGGCCCCTCCAGCGATCGAGCTGGATAATCAGAGGATGCTATTGGAGGTGCTGAGCATGGTGGACTGGTCTCTACTTTGCTCCATGAGATTGCGCCTACTCTGTTGGGAGCATGGTGTCACTTCATTTAAGGAAGGAATGTGCTTTATCAACTAAAATGACACTTATGCCCTTCATAAATAACGGTGGATAAATGACAATTCTAATGAAGGACCACATTGGGTACCATTTTAAAAGTTAGAGGACTAAATTGGGTACTTTTAATACTTTGGGACTAAATCATGTATTAGCTAATAGTCGGAGGACTAAAATGGGTATTAACTCTAATTAATTAATAAGTGACCTTAGTTAAAATCTGTACGCACGATAATATTCTGTTTTAATTAATTATATACCTTAGTAAAAATCTGTACATTATATGTTAAAATTGATTTGATTCAATTGAGTAATATGTTTGAATTACACGGCTTAAAAATTATTAATTTCTACACGGTAATTAGCATATTTAATTGAATTATTATAGTAATAAATAATTTTGTATATCTCTTGCACGGAATATGTATGAAATATGTTAGGAATATTCCATTTTATACACTTTGAATAAATTTTATAAACAAATTAATTAATTACTAAAAACGAACACGTAATATGTATGATAACCCGTTATAGTTGATTTTATTCAATTGAGTAATTAGTTTGAATTACACGGCTTAAAAAATAATAATCTATACACGGTAATTATCATATTTAATTTAATTAGTAGAGTAATACATAATTTTCTATATCTCTTGCACGGAATATGTATGAAATATGTTAGGAATATTCGATTTTATATATCGATGGAATAGAAATTTCATACAAAATAAATTGTAGGACTAAAAATAATAACAAATAACATAATAAACATAAATTGTTGACATATTCGTCGTTAACATGTGTACAGATTAGAAGTGTTGGGAAATCTGCATCTTTCAATACTTCTACAGTAGTTCTATCACAAAACCTCAACATACACATGAGATTAGAAGTTTTGTTTCTATAGTCATTATAAACCACCTCAAATCTATAGATTTGATAAACTTTGCCTTCTTTAAATTTGTTGAACCACTTTTGTACATACAATGGTGGAATATGCATATGTATAAATGTTCCATGAAATTATTAAAAAAAAACATATGCATCAACAATAAATTTTAGAGATACAAAATATTACTGGTTAAAAAAAAAAAAAACATCTACATCATGTACTACACACTCTATAGATTTAATAGTCTGAGAACCTTTTGTCTCAGGAAGACGAACGACACGAAGCACTCTAAACCTAATGTGATTCCACCGCAGTCCTACACGAAGTTGATTACCAATAATCTCAGACTGAGGTTCAGCTGCCATTGAAAATCTGTGTAAAAAGGAGAGTAGAAAAATAAGAATAAGTTTGTAGGTGATAGCTTTGAGTTTAGCCTAATGGTGGGTTTAAATAGCAAATCCTTAATTATTACTATATTTAATTATTGAATTATTTTTTACTACCTAATTTATATTTATATTTTATTAATATCAATCAATATATACATGTATATATATCACACGGAATTTCCATAATTTAATATTCCATAATCAGAATATATATGATTTTACATAAATACCCCTAAGTTTTGGGGGGGGGGGGGGGGAGGGGGGAATTAGTTTGGAGGATTTTACTTTTATATATATATATATATATATATATATATATATATATATATATATATATATATATTAAATTTTAGAATGTTAGTTATTATATTTTTTCAACATTATTGTTTTTCGGATTTTTATTCTCTCCGTTCAGTTGCTGAAAGATAGAGATAAAGCTTTCTAAATGAGATTGAGATCGGGCCCGAAGCAAGATATGGTGGGTTCCAGCAACTTTCACAAGTTTTAAATTTTCCGAAAAATGTTTTAAAGGCTTGCGGTGTTAGCAATTGTTTTCATGTTAAATCTCCTGATTGTTATAATATTATGTGATTATTATGGCTATTCATTGCATTTTCAGAATTTTGCAACTTCAGAATTTTGCAACTTTGTCATAATTCGATAATATTTTTAATTATGGAGTGTAATCTTGAATAACAATTTGGAAAATGCATGTTTATGGCTATTGGATATTATTTTCCATTTCAGTCTTGCCATAATGATTTTGATTATGATGTTAAGAATCATATTTTGAAATTCATTTGAATTTGCTTATCTTTATCTTTATGGTAATATGATGATATAATGTAACATTTAATAATAATAATTAATTAATTATTATTATTAAATGATTGTACAGTTACAATTAAGAAAATTGATTATTCCGTTATTACTGTTATGTAATAATTATTAGAATTATTATAGTAATAACGATTATCTATTTTTGAACCGATGGATCAATGGCTTGTACCGTTACTATCATCATTAGTTTTGGATTTTGATAATATGATTTGAACTCATAATTTTGAAATTATTTCATTCTTGATCCAAAACATATGCGTTAATAATGATAATGTTATAGTTATTGCTATTAAATGTTAGATGTTACGATTGAGGAAATTGATTGTTCAATTATGATTGTCACATAATTGTTATTACAGTAATAACGATTATCGTTTTTGAACTGAGGAATCAATATGTCGTAACATTGTTATCATTATTGTTTTTGGATTGTGATTCCCACTTTGATTAAGTATGAATATTTGATTTTATATTCATATTTTTTGAGTTTGTTTTATGCATATAATTAAATTATAAGTTCATAATAGTATTGTTTAAATTATGCAATTTAGTTATGTGAGAATTTAATTCGTAAATGTCAACATGTCATATGGTTTTGATATGGTTAAAATTTACAAT